AATCAAACTAAGTATAACAAAAAACCATTCTAATAAAGTCCCCAATCATGGTTTTGTTTTCCCTTGTACAGAAGAGAAGATTGAAAAGTACATTCTCTTATAATGTTATTTCTAGAATGCTGAGGATTTCAACTGCTAAGCAGTAACACATTCTTATAGGCAGTGAGTTTTTATTGTTTTAAATTTTTGTGCTCTATCTTGATGGGCTCTACGCAAATAATTGGTGCACAAGTGTTATGAATGAATAAACAATAAATAAACATTCTGCTAAAGTCTATCATTATGTCATGTGTTCAATACACCTTGGCCTACTAGTAACTCTGTAAAGCTTTTAAAGCGTTTACAAACACTACAACACTGTGGTGAGTAATATATCACTTTATATTTGCTAAGAAACTGAATCAGTAATTTCCATCCTGGAAGAAAAAACATCATAATCAAATTCCTCCTGCATGAGGTAAGTGAGGCAACAGAACACAAAAACCATAGGAATCCAATCCTCACACGAACAGCCCTACAAAGGGGGTAGCAAACACATTCTCTTTGTTATATGTGTGGATCTGTCCCCAGCTGTTATGACTCATGAATGGTTTAGTTTATCTCAAATCAACCTACTGGGACTCAAAGAATATCAAACCTAATTCTCTGTGTCCATAGGGGCTTTGGTCTTATGATTCGCAAATAACATGCCCTCGTACCTTATGGCAAGTCATTTTTTTAAGCTGAAGGATTTTCAAACGCAATTTGTGATATTGTGGCGGTTCAAAGAAAAGGTCACCTATCCCAGTGGGTATGCATAAAGCAGCTGTTTGGATCCCAATGAGTTGCCATTAAGGAGTTACAAAAAGGCTCTTGAAACTCTTGATCTTCCAGCATTTCATGGACTGTATAACGTGGACTTTATAAACGTGGTGCCACTGATCTGTTATTCCTGGACAGAACATGGAGGAGAGAAGAAAGAAGGCTTCCTTGATGCCAAAGCAACTGGCCTGATGCACCCTTGCACTGAGTGTACATTCTCATAAGCATCCCAAAGAAAGGAATTTAGTGCAGACCCATAGCTCCTGCCTTCAGAGGTGCATTTAAATGAAGATGTCATTCCTTTGCATAATATATTTTCACCAGAATGTACATATTTGAATGTATATGCCAATGTGAAGTAGTACTGGCCCAGGGGATGTATTCTACTGCTGCATAGACACCAGACCTCTTGCAAACAGCTCACTCCTTTTTGCAAATGATTACAAAAAATATCAAGAAATGGAATATGTTCCAGCGAGGGAGCGCAGGTGTAATGTGTTCCAAAAGCTCAATCTCAACACACATACTTTCAGATAAACATTCATCCCAAAACATTTGATATCATAGGCTGAATGACCAGACCTGCAACCTATGCAATTATAGACAATCAAACCAGATTATAGTAGCTTCCCCTACTTCCATGACAGCCAGCCACAAAGAAAGAGGATAAAAATCAATCCAAAATGAATATATTGGTGCTGTGAGTTTCTGAAATACTAAGAAGCTGAACCCTCCAGCCTGTGCTTTGAAAAAGTCATTACTCAAGAGGAACCTTTTCTGAAGCTCTCACAAAAGCACCCTAATATATAAAAACAACAAGAAGAAAAAGCTTCCTGTTCAATTCACAAGTAACTCCTGGTTTCAGACTAGTGATCAGAATGAAAATTCACCACAAGGATGCATGGAGCCTTAATACATAGAACAACAAGATGGTTAGAGAATCAGGAGGGATGAATATTTTATTTATTCTTTTTAATTCATATTCATAATGCTGAAACATGTCAGATTGACAAGTACAGATACCAGCACTACATTTCTAAAATAAGTATTGCTAGGGCTGAAGCTGCCTTGAAGTTACACTCTCTGAAATGGAAGCTCTTCTCCTGAATTCCAGATGTGTATAAATAGCCATGTGACTAATCAGTAGTGCAAGGGCTGAGATGCCGAATGGTGCTTCCCTTTTAAATCTGTGAATAGTTTGGAGATAACTGTTGCTTATTGCATTGCTGAAGTTCAGGAGATGTGATCATGGTCAACAGCTGCATGGGAAACTCCTTAGGCCTTCATGTGGGTCAATGCTAGCTTTCTGAACAGGAAAAGCAGGATGGATGGTTTGCATATCGGTAGGCAGAGTCTTAGCACTAAAAGAAAATGCTCTAGTTTCTGCCTCAAGTTAAGGAAGGGTGGAAACTCTAATTAGGAAAATCAGTGGTACCTAAATATTCTTTACAAATTGTCTTCTGGTACTGAGAATGAACTGTTAAGGCACAGATCTGAAGTTTCATACCATGTATAGCTGGGCAAGCCTCTCTTTTTAGAGATAGAGCAGTAAAAAATTATGGCTTTATGTTACAAATAGGGTTCAGCCAGCAAGCCGAATAGGTCTACATATTATGGCCATTTTTAATGATCACTTACCTAATATGAAATGCTCAGAAAAAATTAAGTAGCTAGTTCAATGTTACTTCAATAAAAAAACATTTACAAGGCAGAGATATTCCTCTCAGATGAGTTTTCAGCTGTACTACACCATGACACTTCAGCATCTTGGTCTCTGCTCCCCATGTAAGTCAGTGTCGACCCATATGCATAACCACTGAATAAACATCAGATAGCTGGTAACTGATGTTCACTGCCTACATGAACTGCAGAAAGCAAAAACGGGATGGGGAAGACTTATCTCATGTAGCCAGCACCCCTCCTTCTCTCAGGCAAAATGGCTCAGTGGGAGTCCAAGCAGTAGGTGCTTAGTAGCTAGTATCTTTTCAGGGCCCTGCTCTCCAGATATTGTACAATTATCCACTGTTATGAAGGTAATATATGAACATTGTTGCTGTGTTGAGCTAGTGCATGCATTTTACTACATTTATGGCTTAAGACAGATTAAATGGAAATTCATGGTCGTTTAGATGACAGCAAATTTATATGCCATATGTAATGCATACGATACTTATAAATAGCAGTTGCAAGCTACATATATTTTTGTCTCACAAGATGTGAACATGTGGGCAGATCACAGTAACTAGCAGTCTGTGATACTACAACAGAAATATCAGGGAAAATGCAGATAGCATTGATTCCATGCTTCTATCAAGATTACAATCACTCATTTCATATATATACAAACCTTTCTTAACCGTCATCATGTGATAACTATCACTGTCAAAATGCTACTAAAAGTTATTCAAAATTCCAAATAAGATACACAAACAATAATTTAAAAGAACAGTGCTATCAAAACATCTAAAATCTGATTTTAGTCAAGAGCCTTAGAAGCAAGGATGTTTCTTCTCAGAGGTGCTGCACACTGGGAGGGGTCATGAGATACAAAATTCAATTAAAGTTGCCCTCAAGGAGAACCAGCAGGGGGAAAAAGTATGCAGGAATGAGAAAGCTGTCATAAACCAAGTCAGACCATTGGCCCATCTACCTCAATACTGTCTGCACTAATTAGCAGTGGCTCTCCAGGGTTTCAGACAGAAGTCTTTCAAGGTCCTACCAGGTGATACCAGGGACTGAATCTGGGAGGTTTCGTGTGCAAAACGTGCGTTCCACAGCTAAGCCAACTGTCCTGTAGGACAGAGGATTGGGTCACTGGAGATTTGCCTCCACAAATGCCTTTTAATGGTTTTATTAAAAAACAAAATAAAAGATTAACTGAATTGAGCTGCTGCAACAGAAACATTTGTATTGCAGACAATGTGGTGCAGTGCTTAGAGTGCTGGACTTGCACAAGGAAGGCCTGTGTTCTAGCCAGTTAGTCATGAAGCTCACTGGGTAACTTTGGACCAGTCCCTGATTCTCAACCTAACCTAGATTACAGGGCTGTTGTGAGAATAAAATCGATGAAAGGAGAATTATATAAGCTGCCTTGGGTTCCTTGTAAGAAAAAAGGTAGGATACAAATACAATACAGACATACATACATACACCTGTAGCGCTTTGAAGAGGGACAAACAGGATATTCAAAGCCTAGCATGAAACTAATAATGTAAAAATGGACATGAGAGTTAGCCATCACAATGGCTTTCTACTGATTAAGCTAGCATCACTTTGTCTTCCTTTTCCTCTTTTTGGCACAAAAGGTGAAAACATGTGCTTCAATTTCTCCGTTTGTTGTAATTATTTTTTGCATAACTGCACATTTTTCTACGATTCTATACTCTTTCCTATTAAGTACAATTGAAATCCACCCCCTGCCCTGCCTCGCAAACAATCTATGCAGGTGGCAAACAAGTACAACACCAATTAACATGAGAAAGATAAAAGTAACACAAACAAATCCAAGAATATCCTTTAGGTCTTGGAATAACATTGAAGTCAAAACACAGTATTTATTCATAATTTGCCAACAGTTTAAAAGAGGAGTTGTAAGACATAAAGGTGATGCAAGCACTCACAGATCAACATCGCATATGCTTGAACAGCACTAAACTGAAGAATAACGAAGCCCTTTGAGCCTACTTCAGAAGTAAACAAATGGGTATTTTGTTACCTTAGGGAGCTGTACCATGGCAAGGTTGTAACCAGCACCCACAATTTTTAACAACTTCTAATAGCCTTAAGATAGTTAGATAACCTTGTTACAGTCTCTAACCCCATAAAGGGATCGCTGGGTCAAATAAATGGGAAGGGACAATAGTCTCAAAATAGTATTTGGGGCAATGCAAATGCCATCCTTCTGTATAAAACATTCTTGTTACAGCTAACAATGGGAAGAAATGTGGAGCGTATCAAGTACCTTCCATCCTGGAACACCTGGTTAAATAGGATCTGAGGAGGTAGAGGTGAGAAAAACCTTGGCCATTTCTATTTAGAACGACACTGAGTTAGATGAACCAATGGCATGAAGGCAGGCCCATGTATATTACCATGTGGACTGTTTACCCTAACAAGAACGATGCTATGCTATTAGCACTGAGAAGAACTGATTTCATTTGGTATTTCATAGCAGCATGCACCTTCTGATTCACGGGTACCTGTGATATCTGTTTGAGCATCTTCAGCATCTGCTGCTGCTACTCTGCTTTTCTTCTCCAATTCTTTCATTTCAGGCACGTAGAAATCCCCTTGACGAGCAAGGGGGCATATAAAATAGATTTGGCTGCCTTTGTAGATCTCCAGTCTGGGATGTGCACACAGTTTGCGCTCCTAAAGGAGATAAAAAATGGAACATTGAAAAACTTTTCTCACTCTCCCATTATGTTACAACCAATACTTATATCTCTGGACAGTTTTTCAAGATCACTCTCTTGATCAGCAATTCCCAAAAGGTGGTCTTTCAGTATTCCAGGGAGATGTTCCCATCCTTGGAATGCATGCCAAGACATATTGTCCAATTCTCTATTCTTTATCATTTTCAGACACCAGGAGACCAAATTTATAAATGGCTGAGCATCTTGTGAAAAGGGGCAAGAGCTTTCAGGCTCTGAGATAAAACAGATAATAAATTGCAAGAGATTGAGAGTGCTCCACAGATCAATGAACTATTCTGCAGAAGCAGATCCATATCCCATTGTGCTGAATTCTACAACCCCTGCTTTGAGCACCAATACAAAATACTGTGGGATCTGTTTGAGAAAGAACATATAATACATGGCAAGTGGGCCAAATAATTGTAAAAGCTGACAATTTAAATCCATATTAAATTATCAGGAGGAAGATATCATTAATGCCAGTTTCCACATTCACTTCTGGTTTTTCTAGAAATTACACAATTTCAAGCCAGGTTGGGTGAGGCTAGGGACAAAGGTTAAATGCTACAGCATACAATTTCCAAGTAGAAGGGTCAGTCCTAAGCGATCTAGTTAGAAGATCACTGATAATGGCATCAGAAAAAAGAGTCCACAACCAGAGACTTTGGCAAGATGAAACCTGATGGTACTGCATTATTGTTACTACAAGGTAAGAATCAAGCCTGTAAATTTGGCAGGTTGTAAAACATGCATGAAGCCAGGTCAAGGATTTGTAAATGTTTTCACAGACGGCTAACCTTGCAGCACACAGTTATTCTTGCTCTCTCTCAATTCTGTCCTTCCCCCCATTTATACTTGTTTTTCAATTAAAACAGAACAGCATACAAAGAAACCATTTCTTTAACCATGATTGGGGAAATACCCCAACTGTTCTATTTATCCATATCCCAAAGAACAAGCAGATAAATTCCTCTGACAAAGGAATGAATGAATGAATGAATGAATGAATGAATAAATAAATAAATAAAATCCTTTCTCCTGTTTTCCGCTGCAGTCATTCTTCAGCTAGCTGGTTCTTCTTTCGCCAACTGTTGTCAGGATGCATTTTCTGCTTTTAGGATCAAGATACCTATGGAGTTCTTCATACAGGGATCCTAATAGGCCAGCAAGAACAGGCCTCTCCAGCATCAAAACAGCAGTCCCAAAGCAAGTGAAAAGCTTGGCAGAATCCTCTGGTCGGCAAACTAGTTGGGCAATATCCTCTCTTGTAATTTCCAAATCTGTGCCAAGTGATAATTTTTACTAGGAAATGCATTTTTACCCCTTCCCAAGATGACCTGCTTTCTGCCTTCTTGCTATTGGGATTACTGCCAAACCACTGCTACTACAAATATGATCACTGTTCAGTTCAAGCACACAAACACACACACACACACACAAAAGCAAAACAGCTGCAATATCTACACCATCACAGCTTGCAAGTTTACAAGGGCCTTCCTCTCCTCTCTTCCCATTCTCTTCAGATTCTCATTCAATTCCTGAAAATAACCACATTAGGGAGTATATTGAGGTGTAGTTTTCTCTTACATGCTAGTGTTTTATCAGGGGGATGAGGTATATTTAGGCATACTGGGAGGGAAGATTTTTATTGGATGCTTTGCGGGGGATGTTTAATATTATTTTCTATTTATACTGCACCTCAAACACTTATTGCTGTACAGTATTGTTTATCTATTCTCTCTTGAATTTGTCTTATATGTTTTAGCCCATCCTATATAAAATATAAAGCATTAAAAATGATGTATTTCATTTTTGCTTTGGAATTTTGTTTTCAGATGGCAAATGCCCCAAATCTCTGGGATATGGTAGCATCAACATTTAATAAACAAGAATAAACATGAGTGAAAACTTGGAATGCTTACCTCTACACTTTCAAAATTACTATCTCTCTACTGCTGGAGAAGATTCCTGCAAGTCCCTTGGACTGCAAGACGATCAAACCAGTCAGTCTTAGAGGACATCAACCCTGACTGCTCTTCAGAAGGCCAGATACTGAAGATGAAACTCAAATACTTTGGCCACCTAATGAGACGGAAGGACTCACTGGAGAAGAGCCTAATGCTGGGAACGACTGATGACAAAAGAAGAAGGGGACGGCAGAGGATGAGGTGGCTAGATGGAGTCACTGAAGCAGTTGGTGTGAGCTTCTGCACAGGAAGGCCTGGAGGAATGTTGTCCATGGGGTCGTGATGGGTTGGACATGACTTCGCGACTAGCACCAACACACTAGCTTGACAATACACCCCCTAATAATATTTCACTCTGCACTTCAGCTTTAAAAATGTGTTTGCCCTAGTGATCAATCTGGCACAGGGTCTCAAATTTTCTTTTGGTAGTTCCCTGGAAAACAAGTGCTACTCTTACTAAGGTCCTTACTAAGGTCCTCAGCAATGCAGCTTCAAGCAAGGGAGTTTCCAGCAGCTAGTTAAGGGATCTGCCACAGTAGAAAGTTTCCCCTTAACATGACAGTATCAGTCTATCAGAATATACATATACATAGTCGCTTCCGTTACTGCTTGTCCTGATTCAGTCCTTTAATTCTAGGGACAACCCAGCCTTTTAAGAGATGCAACATGTGGATGAGTTAGCGCACGGTCAATGTAAACGAATTTTCTGCAAACATTTGATAGCTAAATAATTCAAATTACAACACTGGAAGGATAAATGCTCACCTCCCAAAATGCCATAGATTGGGGCCCTAATGAAGCTTTCCACATTTGGGATGATATATAGATATCACTGCTGAATCAGAAGATAACTGGATGTTTGGCCTGTGTTTGTTTAAGCTTATTTATAATTGATACATTCAAATCTTTGTGTCTGTATTTTTCTCCCCCTTTCCTTTTCATTTTGTTCAAAAGTAGAATAAAAATAAATTTATAAAATGCTTGATGAGTAGCACCATTTTCCATGCCTACAGGTGTCAGCTGAGCAGAAGAACAAGTGGAGTAGGAACGAATGCTGGCATATACTGGAACTACAAAGTATCAACGAAAAAGGCTCCAAACAGTTGTGTAGGGAATGGACTTTGAACTGAAAGAACAGCTGGCCGTTTTAATGAACGCCCACACCCTGCCCGCCCAGCAGCTGTGTTGCTTGACATATATTATGGCTTGTATGGAGTACATGTCTGAGTGGTGGGGGGTGGGGGTGAAATTCTTTGTGAAAATGCTATGAAGGGGTGGAAAGGAGGATTAGTTTCTTTGCTCCAAAATAAATGTCAGCGGCATTATGTGACACAGACGTCTGCTAATGTCCCCAAATAGCCTTTGTTGATCACAGCTCTGCCAGCATCCTGCTCAACATGCTTGGTGCTCTGTATCCAGAAGGCACAGGAGGCACATTCCCCAATAAAACCAGAGATGGCACTGGCACTGCACAGTTCCGCAATACAAAAGTGGCCATGGTTAAAAGAGCAAATACCACAAGAACTGTTGACTCAAGTATTGGAATCAGTTTTTTAAGTTACCTGCTCATATCTACCTCATATCTTCTGACAACCTGCCTCTCCTTTGCCTTCTTGCTGAATGAAATGATTCCCCCTTTCTCATTGCCATTCCTGTTTATTAACAGCTTCCAGGAATGATAGCAATAGAGTGAGTTTAGGAGTCTCAATCTACCACCATAGCAACAAACTTGGAAAAAATATCCACAATCATTTTTTTGGTGAAATATCCAGTGCTTTTTCTGGGAATGCGTGTTCTCTGATTCCTCCATCTCTTATAACTTTAGTATTATCCAGATTATAACAAATACAGAAGTTTTTAACACTATACTCTTGTAAGCTCTGATTCAGCAGCAGCAACTGCAGCACAATAGTTTCTCAGATAGCTTTAAAGAGAAATCCCTGGCATCTCCAGGCAGGGCTTGGGGGTAACCCTATCTGAAATCCTGGAGAGCTGCTGCCGGTCAGCATAGATCAGGGGTGTACAACTCATGCCCCACATAAATCCATTGGCTACTTTGGTTAAAACCTAAAAAGCCAGCAGTGCTGCATCCAATGTTGCTTCACAATCCGGCTGATTCACCTACTAACTTCTTTCCCAGGTCCTGCCCACAATTCCAGCAGGTCAGAGTTCTTACCTCCAAGCAGCATTTGACTGGAGATAAGAGCTTTTCAATTTTAAACACTGAAAAACACTTCTTTTCTCAGGGCTTAGAGAAGCAGCTTCTCCTTGCTCAATGCAGCAGTGGGCTTGAGGCAGAGGCTGCTGTGACTTGTCCTGCTTTCATCTGAGTATACAAGCAAAGATTTGCCCTGCTTACTTATAAACATGCACATTACTTATGACTTGGAGTAGACATGTGACTGCCTGATACCTGAGATACAATTTTAAATTGCAGCTCAGTGACTGAGCGCTGTTAAGATATGGCAGTACTGGCACTTTTTTGTGCTTGCCAGTAGAAATTTCAGAGGCACTCTCCAATCCATGACACTTGTAATGATCCTCCAAAAACCCTTTCAAGAGCAAATAAGAGAAGAAAAATATATTCTTTTCAGCAACAAAATATTCTAGTATGAATATTCAAAAAATCCCATGCTCCTGCTACAGAAGTTTATCTTCAGCCAGTGCAGACATAATGCTTCCTGGACCTTAGGAGATCCAGAATCAGGTTGTAGAATCACATCTTCCCTCTCAAGGCCCTTTCCACCAATATGAACCACAGTTCATCATTACGTAGGTGCCATTAGCAATGTTTGATGTTAACCAGGAAACAAATCATAGGGTACAAGTTAATCATATACAACACTGAGTACAAACTTTAGGATTAGATGCCTCTCCTACTGACCAGGAATGTGGGATCCTTTCACATTAGCTGTTTGCTCTGCTCACACACTCAGAAAACACTTAAATCATTGAAATACTTGCACAATGCTGCTTACATAGCATACTT